AAATTTCAGGACCCCCGAGCTATTAATTCTCCCTTGGGGAGGGGATTAAGTTTACTATAGTTTATATAGGGAAATAACACTTTTGGGTATATTTTATCCATTTTAAGCAGAAAATTACTCAAACTTAGTCAGAATCATCTTTGGTGAATGAGAGTATTACTTTGTAAAATTGGGATTCCTGCCCCCTCCCTAGGGGCTAGGGTGGGGCCCCAAAGGGAACATTTACCAATATTTTCAAATTCTTATCCTTTGATGACATGACAAGTATTGTATTTCACTTAATTTACATTCTGATTTCCACATCACATCTAAACAATAAAATAAAGCTACCAGTACCTATGATATAACTCAGGTGACCGCTAAGGCCTTTGGACCTCTTGTCTGGTATAAATCCTGACGGACCTGCTAATGTTTATGCAGCCTGAACCAGCATCAGATTACTAGGTCCAACCTTATTTGGATCGCGGTAAACGAAAAGCTGCCTTGGATATGAAATTTGTGTTAAATCAAATATTCACAGAGTTGATCGTTGTATAAATAGTTTCAATACAGAAACTTTAGTCCTCTTTAACAACACTTTGACAGAGATATTATGTGGCAGGTAGTTCTTCACAATAGGTCTTATGGTGTTAAAATTTTGTTGTTGCTTAAAAGTATACCATTCCCCTAACCACCACAATTCTAAACAATTATGAGGAACCCCCCCATTCAGACAAATCTGGAGAAGTCCTTTTATGAAAATTTCAAATAGGATGCCATTTCACAGATTGAGTGCCTGCTTCATCAAATTATTGATTCCAAACAAAATTTGAACCCAATGCTTACTCTAGTTTCTTTTCGAAACTTGCAGTCCAACTTCGGCCCCAGGTGGTGGCTCAGGGTGTACCAGGTCAGGTGCAGAACCTACAGATCATACAGGGCCCCCAGGGGCAGCTACAAGTGCGGGGTCTCCTGCCAGGTAAGTACTCTTATTATCGCTACATAAGGTTTCAATTATCTGACTTTTGGGATTCAAAGATTGGAGCTGCATACACCAGCTGGTGCCATCCTTTCTCTTTAAATTTCAAACTTTTTCTCGAGAGTTAATTCAATTTCCTTTGATTTGTTTGAAATATAGACCAACCATATAATTGAAAATGATGCAGGAATATTACATGAAAATGAACTTGAAGTAAATTTATACAAAACCTTCATCCTCTGGTATCTTCTTTTATCCCACCTTGGAATTTTCGTCTGTATGTTTACCTTTATATTGTATCAACAGGTCAACAGATCATCCGATTACCTGACGGGCGTCTCCAGCTTCTGTCGATGCCACAAACTCCACAAGTGGCTGCTGCCACTCCAACACCTACAGTCACCCCTGCCACCACTGTGGCCACCCCCACCTTGGTGCCACCCCGCACTCAGCTCGCCATCCGCCCTCAGACCTCAATCATTGTAACCAATGCTACAGGGGGCACACAGACAGCCACTACACCAGCCAGGATCATCATTCCATCGCAAAACCTTCCAACAGCATTAGGATCATCGAGTCCTGGCATTAGCCTCGTCTCAGCAGCCAAGGAGGGCGGACTTGTAGCCACAGTAGTCAAGGGCAGCAGTCCCCCGTCTATCTCCCTGGCTGCACCCAAAGTCATCGCCCCGGGGCTAGTCACAGGTTCTGCCACGATGTCGGGAACTCAGGCTGTCACCATGACAACATCATCCGCAGCCGGAGCTTTGGCATCGGCCATCAAAACCATCACCCTACAGAAGCCAGTATCATCAACCACCATCCCTTCACCCATCACAGTGACCTCCTTACCACAAATGGTGTCTGGTGGCCTGCCCAAGGTCATCACTGCCACAAGAGCTGGCCTGCCTGGTCAGCTAATTGTCCAGACGCCACGACCACCGGGTCAGCCACTACTGATGGCACGGCCACAGGTACCTACGACTGTGTCCACTGCTCCGGTCACGTCTGTGTCGGCAGCTGCTGCCACCAAGTATGCAGTCACGCCACAAGTTGTGCAGCAAGGTGAGTTTAGCAATTGTAAAAACGGAATTGATAAAAGTAGCAACTTTTAACAAATGCTTCTACAGAAGCACTGCATAGATTGTAACTTAGGCAAGAAGATTCCTTTTCACAACAGTCTTTAAGTTTCCGACATTGCATTGTACTGGTTTCCAAAGGGGCATTGTTAGTGGTTCCCTACACAAGTAATTCTTGACAGTTTGAAACAAATATTTATGTAGAAATTATAAGAGGTCTGAAGGCAAGGAAAAAAGTTCCCTCACTCTTGTATCTAGTTACTTTGACCTAAAATAGGATCCTGCAAAGGAAACAAACTCTATTTGTTTATATTGTTTATATTGGGAAAAGACGTGCAGTTCTTCGTTAGAGATACTTGATAGATTTAACCAAATTTTGCAAGAAGCACCCTTGTAAACAATAAGCTTCACCCCAAAGCAATCTTTAAAATCTACAGGTATTTCCAAATTAAGGAATTCTTAAGTTCTGCTAAGCTAATTTTATTCCTGTGAGTGGTAAGGCCCTTTGACCTTTTGTTATTTATATCAAAATCGAACACCTTGGCTAAATATGTTCTCATTGAATATAATTTTAAAGACATCTTAAATGATATACTTTTTTTTTCAAACGAGAAACACATTGTTATTTTATTCTTTCAACACAGTGGTGCGTCAGGCTTTGATGCAGAACCAGACACCGGAGATCCAGGCCAAGCTGTTAGCCATGCAGCGGCTGATGACTCAGCCAAAAACTTCGAGTGCCATAGCCGAGCTTGCCGACGCCATTACCATATCTACGGCAAGCTCCGAAGCCGGGGTGGAAGGGGCCAAATTTCCTATCGCAGCATTAAGTAAAACACAGACGCCCACAGTAGCGGTCGACTTGAACCGTCCACGGCAATTCAAAACTACTGTAGTGGAGAAAGAAGAACAGAATAGGTATTGTTCATTACTTACGCTTCTACTGTTGCACATGGAATTAATGATTACTTGTTTAATTACTCGTAAACTTCAGCAAAGTATGGTAACTTGTTGAATTTCTCGGAAATTTTTCGTTGCAAATGTGAATTTTTCGGTAACTTCGGCAAAATTCATCGCTGCAAATGTGCAGAAGTTTTTTGAAAGGTAGAAAAGGAAAAGCAATATAGGTATCATTTATTTACTATAACCTTCTACTGGATCTGAAATGCATAATGTCTTGTTGAATTACTCGAAAACTTTGGTAAAGTTGATTGTTACAAATATGCGGAGGAATTTTGAGTTTGTGCAATTTAATTAATTTTACTGGTGGACTGTTTATTGTAACTACTTTTCCAGTTTAACATAAAGGATATACTTGATTTCTCAATTCTCAGTTAATAGAGTAGACCTCAGTATGAAATAACATTCACTGTTGAAATATTGGTATATTATTGTACAATTTAATGATCATTTTATGACTGGTTTTAGAAAACAACTTACTATCTAATGAATTCTGTGTTATAAGAGCACTCTGTATGTCAGTTTTCTATTCCATGGTTATCCCCCGAGTCATCAGCTGGTATGGCCCTAATAACNCGTTAAGGCCCATGGGCCTCTTGTATTAAAAGAAGTCATAATGTATGAATTTCCGCCTTACTGTAATTCATTGACTATTGAATTTACCATGATAATTATTTTCTGTTCAGGCTCACCGTTTGTGGTCAGGTGCTTCGAAATGTCATTGAGAAAATCGAGAAGAAGGAACGGGACGATGGCCGGCGAATGAAGAAGCAGGAAATGGAGGAGGAGAAACATAAAAGACTAATGGTAGCCAAACTTCAGGGCACTTTATTCAAACACAAGGAAGCTCTTAAGAAGGAGATTCTTAAGAAGCGGTCGATTATGGAGAAAAACCTACAGCAAGAGATTCAGGTTGTTCTCCAAGCAGTTATTGTGTAGGCTTGGGAAATGTTGTTGCATGTTATTTTGAGGCTTAGCTATCCAGGGTTAGTCAGAAAGTGCAGATAATACCTATCAGGAATCAACTCATTATTTGTTATTGGTAGAGGGGAGGGGTAAAGGGACAGAGGGCTGTGCTGTAAAATTGCCTTGTTTGGCCAAAGAACAAGAAAGCAGATTTAACATAGAAGAAAAATAATTCTTATAATCCAAAGATAATAAATGTGGGGGAAACTTGTGCAAGTCATATGGGGAGATAAAATCCAATGGGAGAAAAAATTAAAAAAAATTTGCAGGGAATTTTAGTTCAATTAAAAAAGGCCAAAAAGAAAATCTTTTTTACAAGAAATTCTGCACTCTTACATGAACCCTGAGATAGATTTTCGTTACATATATGTTTTTGGTTGCTTAGTTTCGTTGATTTTATAATCTGTATGAATCTAGGAGTGATTTCGCTGCATGATCGACCTTGTTATTGGATGTTTGTTGTCGAGACTTGATGCAAACCACCATCGCATCTACACTGTTTTACTCTTTTACGATTTTGACACATGTTTGAGGATTACAAAATGTATTCATTAGATATCTGAGCATATTTTACAATCTGCACGGGAGCACAGCCATTCTTGTATTCACTAGTTCTATTGAATAGTGTAAACATAATAGCTTGCTGGGGAATATTTAAAAAAGTAATAACAAAATTATGCCAGAGTGTTATGTATGTGGAAAATGAAGTTTTAAGAATTTTTTTATAGCAAAACATTTGAATCAAATTAGTATTTCTTACACCCCTTAAACAAGACAAGACTTTTGAAGTTTGATTGGGATTGTCTTTGTCTTTCACACTCTCAAATTTGTTTCTAAACTTTTTGTTTTGGTGAGGTTTTGAATTTTCTGTAAATTTGAAATTACAAAATCCTGCATGTTGTATGTTAGAATGTCTAAATTACATAAAATATTACCATTGGATCTGATCGTAGCTAGTTTAAACTGATTATGGACAAAATGGTCATCTTTAGCCCAAGTCTGCATAGGATCTTGTTATCCTCATTGGTTCAGACATAACACTGACAGGATCCTGTATCCTGTCAGTGGCACTGACCGAATAGGAAGTTGCATGCAAGTCTGTAAGAGATGCACCCCTTTTCTCTGCATCAGATTCAAGTAGCTGACGATGTTGTTTGCATTTGGCCTACAGATATAAAAAAAAAAAAAGGGCTACAGTGGCCAAGTGGTTAAGACGTCTGACATTCTGCTATCACTAGCTCTCCACCACTGGGTCGTGGACACGAGGCCTACGTGGGGCAGGTCGTAGGTCGTTGGTTTTTCTCTGGGTACTCCGTTTTTCCTCCGCAACCAAAACCTGGCACGTCCTAAATTACTTTAGCTGTTGATAGTACATAAATCATTAAACAACTAATAGTTATGGAGTGCTTTACTGATTGGATGCGATATTAATATTTTCCATGAAGCTGATGTCTGAGTTTGGCTTGGACTTGCCAAATAACAGTCTGAACAGTCCAAATTAATATCATATCTAGACATGAAAACAACTCATAACTGATAGAATTAATAGAAACATTCTGTTGTCAGATAGTAACCATTACATTTTTGCACAATATTTTTTAAGTCGTTGCATTTTATTTATTGAATTGGATTTTATTGGTTTATATAATATTTCAGTTGTTGCTTTGATTTCATTAAGTTAGAGAAAAAATTGCTCTGCTTTTATAATTTAATTGTATTTGAAGCGATTCGGGTCCCTTTGCACTGATCACGTAAATACATTTTTTTGCGATAAACTGGTGACCGCATTATATCAAGTTGATAGAATCACACATGATTAGCAGCACACTATATGCTTGGCCAAAGTTCTAAAACCTATCAGAAACAGTTACTGGAAAAAGTATTTTGATTATTTTCTGGCGATAAATAAGCTGATGCTCAATATGAAGTTCATCCATTGATTAAATTAATCAAATACAAATCTTGAATCTTACAATTTGCTCATCATTCAAGTCCTGCTTAAGACTAGTTCCCATGGTAAGGCCTTCTTTGCTTGTCACTGTTAGAGTTGTGATACAATTTACAGTGTGAAAACTAGAGAAGAACAGAAATTTGTATTAGAATTTCGTATTAATCCTCTCCCTTATCCGCAGGCGGAGGTGAACGAACAGTTGAAGAAGCGAAAGAAGAAGCCAGATTCACCAGGGCGTCCGTTGGTGACAGTGACCAGTCAGAAGGCACCATTACTCAACCAAGACCAAACCATCATGACGGAGGAACCGAAACGCAAGAAGCAGAAGATTATTTCCACAGGGGGAAGGGCATTCAACCCCAAGGAGAAACTCTACTGTGTCTGTAAATTACCCTACGACACCACAAAGTAACTACGACTGCCCACTTTCGTTATAACTATTGAAATATACCATGGCGCCTCTATATTTCTAAACATTGGTCTGCATTCATTTTAACTGTTGGAACAGCAGAACTAGAGCAATTTCATAATGTTATGATACCAAGAATCTTATTGAAAGCATTAGCCATGAAAAAAAAAGGAGACATTTACAATAATCATTTAAGTGCAGCTACAATGTATGTTTAAGGCATATGATGTTATCCTATCTGGGGAAAATTGTTTAAAGTTCCATAGGATCAGGCTAAATTTTAAATTTTCGTACTCTCCTCAGATTTTACATCGGCTGCGACCTGTGTTCCAACTGGTTCCACGGCGATTGTGTGGGCATATCAGAGGGCCGAGCCAAGACCATCGACACCTATGTCTGTGGGGAGTGTAAGAAACAGAAAGAGACGGCCACGGAGGAGCTGTACTGTCTGTGTAGGACGCCGTACGACGAGGCTCAGTTAGTAATTTAAAGCTCCCAATAATTAATTGTCAGGGTAGCGAAGTTAACTCAATCACCCCTTAAGACACCTTTAAACTCTTCCAATTCAAAGTTTGGAATAGTTCATTATGAAATTTCAGGGGTGAACTATTTAAAGGCCAATTTTAGCTTGTGTTGGGTACGAACATGAAAATCTAGACACTTGCTTCTTCTCTTGAACTTTAAAGAAGCCAATCGGGCAAGAGGTCATTAAGCATTTACCCCACTGTGTAAGGAGGCATGACTTTTAACTTGCTGGTCAAAAAAAACAACAACTGGTATTTGAATACAAATAGTTCTAAAATAAATGAGATATTCAGAATTTTCCTTATTATATAAAAAAAAACCACAAGTACATCTCGGTACACTCATCATTAAAGGGAAGACACTAATTTCTGTTTGACAAAAATAAATCTTAGTGCGTAAAATAAGCAAGCATAACTGAACAACTTTTCTGTGAACCCAAGTGTCTCTAGGGTATAAAATTTGAAGATACATAGGGTGCAAATACATTTAACGATGTAACAGGTATGTGATGTATTACATTCTGTGAAATTGTGCTTGTAGGTTCTACATCGGATGTGACCGGTGTCAAGACTGGTTCCACGGGCGATGTGTTGGCGTGTCACAGGGTGAGGCGGACCACATCGACACCTATATCTGTCCAAACTGTATGCGTAAAGAGGAGGCCGATCCGGTCAGCCAGAAAGAGCTCCTCGACCGTGACTATGACACACTACGCAGGCTTGTTAAGAGTCTCCAGGTAAACCTACACACTTCCTGGATTGGCATCATCCATAGTGGTTGCGCATTTATAAGAAATGACAACTGCCCTTGGCTTATTTTCTTGTGGAGTTATTCATCCGCCAAAAATTTGACAAAGATTCAAAGAGGTCTTTTTTGTATTTATTAAGAACAGCTTCCGAAATATATTCCATTGATCTTTAAATGGGAAAAGCATTATCACAGAGAAAATAATAATTTTGAAGAAACCGTATCGAGCAAAGATGACTTTTCAAATATGTTTTTGAGCACTCTGTTACAACATCATTACACAAATTTAGCTTTGTAAGGTGCTCTTTGTATGATATGAATATCATACCATGTGTTAAATTAAAAAACTTGTATTATTGTTAATGGTAATTCCCCAGTTGGAAGCACTTTGATAAAGGATGGTAATTTTTCCTGTTGATGATTAAATGTTGATAAAAAATAACAATATGGTTTGCTGTCATTTTCAGTCTCACAAGATGGCCTGGCCATTTCTGGAGGCAGTGGATCGTAACGAAGTTCCAGATTATTATCATGTGGTCAAAGATCCTATGGGTAGGTTCTCGTGTCCATACAATATCCATTTTATACCGAAACTGTTACCCAGGGCAACCAGACATGATTCCAATAATTTTGAAATTTGGGCTTTGGCAAATTGCTGGTGAAAATTTCTCCGTCCTTTCTAAAAATTAGAGGCAAGAAAAAAAGTATGAATTGCAAACAAAATGTTCCAATGCAAATGAAGGAGAAGTTCTAATAGTTTCAATATTGCTATCATTAAATAAAAATAAAAAATACTTCAAAAAAATATATATTTAATTAATGAGTCAGCTGACCTGTGATTCAAACGGGGTCCAACTAGTCCTGTATTGGGCCTTTAACCCTTTCAACACTGTAGACCATAATGGACTCATCCATATCAATGCATGGTAGAGTCTACTAAAGTTACATAGGGGTGAAAGGGTTAAAGTCAAGCAAATAAAATCATCTTCTAGAACAAGCAATTCTGTTGGCTCGTCTGAGATGTTAACTAGGTCGGACAATGGATAGACTTGCTAGAGAAGAGATTTTAGTGTGATAGTCTTTCATGAATAATGATTCTAACTTTCTAGTCTTCCTTTTTTCATACATCAATTACAACTCTTGCATCAAGCTGATTTTGAGAGGGTTTTCAGTGATGGATTTGTGTATTATTTACAAGTAATTTTTCAAAGAATTTTTGTTTTTAATTTGAAGTTCTTGGTAAGATATTTGATAAAACTGTAAAAAAAACACACTTACATTGTGGCAGATTGAATTTCACCGAAACCTGTGAAACAAGGAAATTTGATCACTGGTATTTTCACTGTATGGACCATACGGTAAATGTAAAACAAAATTCATTTCATTTCAACACGTTTTCTTGATAGGATAGGCAAGACTTACAGTTAGATGTCTTTTTTTCTGGTTTCCATGGAGGTTTCTATTTTAACTCAGAATATTTATCTTTCTAGATTTGACGACAGTTGAGAAGCGACTCCAGAAGAAAAAGTATCATAGACTAAAAGACTTTGTTAAAGATGTGACTAAGATATTTGATAACTGCAGACTCTACAACCCAACGGACACACCATTTTACCAGTGTGCGGAGGTGTTGGAAACGTTCTTTGTGCAGAAACTGAAATCTGTGAAGGAGCGAATATGATGTTCATGTTAAATAACCAATATTGAACTGACATTTTCTACAGGGTCAAGTGGTATCAAGTTTCGTTACATTTATGGCATGTCAAGTCAAATTTACAGTTACTTTTTTGTTTGGCATCATATTAAAGACGATTTTTACGGTATTTAATTTCATATTGATGATTTTGAGTCCGAGCTTTGTTGTTTTGAATTTCAATAATTTATAAGAATTAAAAAATTATACTTTTGACTGTTATCAAGCTAATGAGTATTCGTATAAATGGGCTTAAGCCCTTCTGTACCAAATATTGTTAGCATAGGGATTTGTAAATGAATTTTTCAAAATATCTTTCCTGTAAATATTTGCTGTCTTCATGTGGCCATTTTGAAACCTCAATAATTAAGATTTGTAAGTATTTGGCAAAAATTTAAACAAAAAATCAAATCCACATCGGAATAAATTTTAAAATGTTTTGTTCAGCTAACTAGTCCGACAACTTGACCCAGGTAATTTGATATAACTGTGTGTGTTCGCAAGACCTCATCTTCTCATCCGTAGCCATGACATAATGTTCACATCATTGACTCGAGACTCGTTTGTTATTGTTGATGGGTTCTTTTACCTATAAAGACCTATTTTGTTTAAGAAATGTGTGTTAATATCTGTGTAAAAATTGACATGCTAAAACTACTGGGAGCAATTCTTTGCCTTTTGAGTACCATAATGAAAAGATAATAACAAACATTTTATCCTGTTGGATAAAATGTGAATGATATTTATTTTCTATGAAGATAGTTAAGGAAAATTTTGAACAAAAATTGATTTAATGTTGCATTGAAAGAAGAAAAATGTAAATGTTTGAAGACATATTTGCATGATTTTGGCGACACAAATATGTTAATGTTTGGCCAATATTTTCCTCCTATGATGACAAAATTGGGAACCTTTTCAGTTTTATATATATTTTTCTTGTAAATTTTTCATTTCTACTGTGGGTTATATGTTGTGTTGTACGCATGACATCTATTAAAATGAATTTTGAATCAAAAACAACTTGAAACTTTTGTGTACAGTGAATATTGATCTGATAGGAGTTGATGTGATGACCATCGTATGTCATTTCATGCATGTCACTCATTGTGTAAATAGGTAGACTTTTGTAAATGTGTATTTTCATACATCGTTTGTTGTACATAACTTTTATCAGTAATTATCTTTTTTTTTCTAAATGTGTACATTAAAATAGCATGTGTGTAAAAATATATAATACATCAGTTGTGTTTGTGCTTAAGAAAATATATATTACAAGTGCTTTAATAACAAAATCATCAATATTAGAATTTTACCAAATTGTTTTAGTGACTGTCTTTCGGCGTACATTTTGCTTGGTCAGTTTTTGGAGGGCAGTTTTGTTAATATGTATATATATATATATATATATTAGGGCAAAAGAAAATTGCAGGAACGAAAATTGCAGGAACTTTGATTTGATATTACTGCTGTGCTTGACACTGAAAATGCCCCCCCAAACTCGCAGTTAAGTCGCTGAATCATACATACTAGATCTCCACTATATCTTCCTAGCAGACATTTCGGTATTATTACATTTTGTGCATTCGTTATAGTTTCTAGACATGAAGACTGCCTCGTCGTTTTACGATGAATGAGCTGGAACAATTGTTGAAGCATTATGAGTTTTTCATTACAGATGAATGTTACTGTGCAATTTATTTCTTATCCGACTCGGTCAGAATACTGTTCAGAATGAGATTAAAGATTTCGAGAAGAAAGATTTAAAAGATGATTTAAGTGGAATTGCTCGTGATGTAGGTTTGCAATAGGTCAGAGTTTACATATTGAAAGAATTTGTTATTGTTAACAAATTAAACAGTATTAAAAACTCTAAACTGCCTAAAATTAGTTTCAATGTAACATTTTGAATTTTAAAAATACATTTTATAGTTTCTATCTTTTCATCTAATTTTTGATGAATGATGAATATGTATTGACTATTGAAAATATCCACCTAGACGATATTTTGAAATCTCGTTATTGATCTTAGTGCAAAACTGGTCCCAGAGAGCAAGTTTTTTGGATGGTTGGACTAGAGGAGGTTTATTACATTTTGGGAGGCTCAAATTACAGGACTTCCTGTAAAGTTATTTGGTTCTGAAAAATGTAATTACTCACCGTGTTATTTGATTCCTTGTACCTATGTCGTATGTGTTGTAACTGTGAAGGGAATTGAGGCAGCTAAGCTATGATAATGAATCCTACAGGGACAATGTTTGTATAAACGATCGCTTTGGGATGTCATTTCGACTATTCTACAAGGTCGCTATTCATTTATATGTGTAATATATTTACTCAAATTTTAGGTGAAATTCGACTTGGAACGTGTGCATTTTCATTCAAGTCTGCCTGAAAAAATGTAGATTTAGCTATCATAGGGTTAAACTTTTCATTGAAAAAATCTGTTTGTAAAAATGTGGATTTAAACTATTCAGTCAAACCTGTTTGTGAAATTATGACTTTGTACTCTTTCATTGACCCTTTCACCCCTATGTAACTTTAGTAGACACTACCATGCATTGATATGGACAAGTCCGTTATGGTTTACAGTGGTGAACGGGTTAAAATCTGTATGATATGATTGTAGATTGATGCTAATTCTCACCACACCTGTATCTATCACTGTGTCAGAAAAGATATTTTTCATTTTTCATTTGTATTAAACATGTCTTCAGCCCAGGGGTAAAAAAGCTGAAGTTGTCATCTCAAAAACCCATTGTCATCTTGTATGTCTGGTATGTAGTTATGTGTCTGTGCATTTTCTGTTGATTTTCAACATTTCAAATGTAACATAATATTTTTTTCCGATTAACTATGTGTATCATGACAGACATATATATATAATAAAATAAAAAATAAATTTATGTATGTTTGTCTAATGACTTTATGAGACTAGAAATGGCAGGCAGTCTGGCCTGTTGAATAGAAATGTATGGTATTCTTATGTGGCAGGGCTGCACTATACTTGAGATTGGAGTTTTATCCCAAATATATTTGCATTTTCTCCAGAAACAACAAAACATACTAGCAAAAGAAATGAAGGGTAGGGATGTTGTGTTATGTCATTTACCAAATGGAGAAGTTATTTTTATAGATTTTATGGTTTTCGAGAGGCATTTGACCATACATATCACAATTATTTCATTCCAAGGTTGTATTGAAATTTAATTTGAAATGTTATCCTTGTTAAAGAAATTTGAATGAACACCCCCATCAAAACTGAAATAAAATAAACAACAGCAATAGTTTTAAGACACCAGGATGATTTTTGAGGGGAGGGAGTTACAGAGGGGGGGGGGGGGATGCTATATAGAAACTTGAAACTGCTGTGAACTTGTTCATAGCTGCAATTAGATAAAATATGTCATGCACAGTTAGTTGTAGAAAGTGTAACATGATATTTGTACATAGATTTTTTGATATTATATATTTCTTAACGTCTCTGGTACCTACAGCACCAGTCGACTGATATAGAAGGAAATTTTAACACAACTACAACCTTCAACTAGCATGATGTTTTGTTGTCTGTAGTACAGTATGATGTATAAGTAAGTATAAAACACATTTCCAGGATCAACAGTAAGTTTAACTCGCATTCACCCCTGAAATTTCATAATGAACTATTTCTACCTTTGAATTGGAAGAGTTCAAATGTGTCTTCAGGGGTGAATGAGTTAAGAGTTGGTTTGATCAAGTTTTCTGCCATTTCAACATTTAAAATACATGTAGGTTTTAAGAACATGAAAGAACATTTCTTGGAGTATTGTTGGGGATTTTGTTGACCTGATAAATATTTTGGGATTTTTTTTTTTCCCAATTTAAATACGAGGTTATATTTTTAGGACAATTCTCAATGACATGGTTTTTAGGTCCATCTGTCCAACTTTTTACACATCAAAATATACTGATACACTGAAGAAGATGACTTCCTGCTGATTTTCTATAAGTACTTCAACAGTAAAAAAGTATAAAGCATTATTATTATTTTTTGGAGCATTTCCAGCATCTGGGAAGGTTTAGACTCCATAGCAAGTGAAAAACAATTCTAATCTACAAAAAAACACCAAATCGGTTTCAAACATATACCAGCATTTAATCCAACAGTCATCAGCTTTCATGGTATTTGTATGGCACGTTCAATTGAAGATATATATTGGCAAGGTAAAAAGATATGACCCTTGCTTTCGAAAATGTACCCATCTTGCACCACACAAAGATACCAGGGACTGCTGGTAAGCTAACTGTTCATGGAGATGAGATTTTAAAAAAAATATCAAAATTATGATTGCTTCAAAACATAATATGCATATGAGCAGGAAATGAGCAGGAAATGCAAATGTCAATAATATTTTAAAATACAGAAAGTCAGCAGCACCCATCTTAAAAAAAAGAAGCTAATAGCATAGCCGTTTAATGTGTAACTCACAAATTCTCACTCTGACAATCAAGAAAACTATTTAAAGGTTCAGTTATTTTAATGGGATCTTCTTGAGGTTTTTTCAAAATTTAAGAAAAAGTCTAGAAATTTGAGAATTTTGGAAAATTTCATTTTCAAAAAAAAAGGTTTATGTGAACAATATTCTTCTTTAAGCCCAGCATGCCATTACATGTAAATTGGATTTACTTTGATTATGAAACCAGGAAGATTCTGTCTATCAAGGATCATAATTTATCACATTTCTGTTGAATCTTGTTATAGTAATACAAGCAATTTTCAGACTATGAAATACAACGTTCTGTATTGCACATGTGCAATACGGGATGTTGTATTTACCTACTAGCCGAAACTACTTTTTATGGGAATCCCATCGTCATGGCGAACTGAAAAGTTCCCGGTATTTGCAAAAAATATCAAAGTTTAGAAAATATTTGTATCGATCTCTACCAAATACGGAAATTATGTGATAAAAGCAAGACCACACACTTGTGTTTTTCTAACGAATCAGAAGGCACTCA